TCAAACCTAACTAAGTGCCAACTAGTATCACAAACGACACTGAAAAAAATCAGTTTGCTGAGTATTTACAAAATAATACACCGACGTTAAATGTAATAAAATATGAATTGCCTTGACCAAATTGACCGCTTAGTGACAGGTAACTAATAAACATATACATGTAAGTATTACTCTTATTGTCCGCGCTTGTAGTTGACAGATGCATCAATTACAAGTCCTATTAACATGACTCAAGTGTATAAATTATACGATAAAGCAGAATTTCCCTTATTACAACACAAACTGAATAAAATTATTTTTTTTATCTCGGTTAGAGATTTACATTATTTTTCTTTTTTAAGAATTGTTTGTGATACATTATGTTTAAAACTGTTTATCTTTGGCATCAAACGATTGAAGCTAATGATTTTACAATATTGTTATCAGAAACTGTATCATTTTCATCAAACTCAAAAGCATTTTATTTTACTTACAAAAACTAGTAGTCATTTTTTTAAGAATTGACGTAATGTTATTGTTTCTTTTAAAATTGCCACCTGGTAGGATGAGAATAGCTCTGAAATATGTCCGATTCAAATGTGACCGTTTATAAAAATTTGAAAGAAGGTTAAGCCCTCGGAAACATTAATCGCAACAACGTTAAGATCTCTTTACACACGATTAAACTAATATACATTTTGAAGAAAAGCATACAAAAATGTGCATTAGGTATATAAAGAAAAAATCATTTTAATAGATATCTAACATTTACATTATCTGTTGAAATTTACAAAAGTCAACATGACAGTGCTCAATATTGTTAATTCAATTCAATAAATCAAGGCTATGCATAATAACAGACAATATGAAATATGCAAAATAAAACACTTGTTTATGAACATAATTTACAGCAAGGGCGCTTAATTATCCAAAAGGTTTCTAAACACGAGCACTGTTGCGGAAATACTGTGTGGCGGAAAAAAGAAAATAAGTTGATTTGAGTAGTTATATAATGTACTGAAAGTTTCGACAGTTTAAATTATAATACCAATATATGTGTCAAAATGCAATCTTATTATAAGATTTTGCAATTCATATCACTGACAAAGTATACAGGCAAATTGACACTACATGGTGTTATTTTTGTAGTAACTGGCAAATTGTTTATATTTATCGACCTGAATAACAACTAACATATCACATTAAAAATTGAAAAAAAAAAAAAAAAAAAAACAAACAGAAAAATATTCATATTAGAAAATAAATCAATTCGTTATGATTTCATGTTTTGTTTTCATAAAATGAGAGTACAAATCTTACAATTGTATACGTTATAGTAGATAAAATATGTGCTAAAAGTAAATCTCCATTCATATAAACTACGTTAGGAACAAATGCATAAGAAATAGACTTACCATTTCAAACCGGCATTTCTGCTTCGTAAGAGAAAATAAACGCTACATCTGTAATTGAGTGAAAATCTTTAAAAGTGACATTTCTTCTGGGTATTGCTGAACTCATTGTTTTTATCATTAAAACTGAGTATAGTTTATGACTGAACATTTTTTATCAATTGTTTATGTAGATTATTTTTCATTGCTTTCGTAGAATTTTCGCTTTAATCTTCATCCGTTTCATGTTTTCCATTAAGACACTTAGTCATACATAGTGAACTTTTTTATATTTGCAGGATGAAATGCCACTCGTCCTTGATCTTTTTTACATATTACATTTTAAGAAATATATCAATTACAAAGACCAAGACATTACATTCACAAATTTTCGTTTTTACATGTTATTTCTACTAAAAGCTCAAGACTGTTTAATATCTTCCAGTATGTGTAAAATCAAATGGTGTTTTCTTTAAATTAAGAAGTAATGGGTTCTTCTTTTCAAGCAAATAAAAAGCCAACCCAAACAAATTTAAATGAATAAATAATGAATAAAAAATAAACAAATACAAAGAAAACACCAGAAATTTTCTTCATCAAAACCAATGCTGAGAGCTTGTAAAATTGATAAAACATACACAAAAGCTATCATAAATGACTTTATTTTGTGAGGATACTTTAATGCTGCTGAACCGATACAGATTTGTGCATGAAAACTGTGCAAAGTCGGTAAATGTATGTGTATGCATGTAGGTGTGTGTGTTCGTGTGTGCGTGCGTATGCGTGTGTGCGCGTGCGTATGTGTGCACGTGCGTGTGTGTGTGTGTGTTTCTGCTTGAATTAACTTTCCTGTCTATTCATGAAGCAAGAAGCAACTATTTATTTTTGTTTCTGTTTAAGGACAGACAAAGAAATGAAATAGAATAAATAATCTTTTATGATTTCTTTTTAGTAAAATAAAGGAAAAATATAATTACATAGTATCATTAATAACGTTTTACTGCAAATCATAATCGTACCGTGGCACAAAGGTGACATTTGTGCGTTTTTATTTATCTCGTGCGCACGAGATACTATGTCGTGGCCACAAAAGACTAAGTCATGAGCACGAGATAATTAAATCTTGGGAACGAGATACTATGTCGTGGTCACGAGTTACTAAGTCGTGGCCACGAGTTACGCAGTCGTGGCCCGAGTTACTAAAATCTACAACCTCAGGCTCTATATTGGGAGTTAGATCATTTACTTCCACACCACTTTTTCTCCATCTTTTATGGGCATTAACAAACATTTTCATTTAAAAGTATAACAAAATACACCACACATTTGAAACTGTGCCTACAGATATGTACGCTCGCGTCATATTTTTGTGTCGCCCAAAATTCCAAAGTATTCCGTACAGACAGTCTCAATCGCAATTTCCTGGATTTAAAGCTGTCAGATATATAGTCTAAGATACTACCCACGCTGTGTTGCATAATAAGATAAGTTGAAAAGGCAAATATTTATGCAGATAGTTTTTTTCTCTCTCTTCAATTACCCACAGAAATCACAGTTTACACTCCAATGTCCGCTTTAACTTCCGCTTAGGGACAAAACGCGAACTCAGGCTGAAATAGAGGTAAAGTAGTTCAGGTAAGATTGAAGAAATTGTTATTTTTGTGAGAGGGTTTTACATGAAACAGATTTTTCCTGATATCTTTAGTGGCAAAATCTATATATTTTATTTAAAACAAAGCGATTTCTCACTTCGATTTCTAAAATAATTATTTTTTATCAACTTTAAGCAACAGTTTTGAAGCTTTACATCTAATAATCGTACAATCCATTTTTACTCTTTAAAGAATAAGTATCTAATAATCGTACAGACCCACTAGGTAACACAAAATGAGGCATTATTTGATGAGAACATCTTCGTTAATAAGAAAATATTGACTAAACTATTCCCAGTTTAACATTTTGATATTCACATTTTCTGACTATGATTAAAATGCTTAAATAAATACACTTTTATTCAGTTTTGCTACATGTAGATTCTTATTTGTTAACTGGTTATTTTCATCTATACGCCTTCTGTCGTAATGTTTAATTTCAATGTTGAAGAAAGTATTTCATATTTTAATGTGGCATATAGATTAATGGGAATGTGTGCAGTCTGATTTTATATGTAAACAAGTCATCGATTCGGATAAGAAGTGCATTTTTTACTGTACATTTATATATCAGCCACTGTTTCAGTGTGTACAATGACATTGATGCAATCAATTATTTTTTTAACAAATAAACTCACTTACATTGTGACAACATTCAATTTTAGGGGTCAATGAGACACACTGTCATATTAATTTGATAAATGTCAGTTGCATTTACCTACTTTTTGGAATAAACATTCAGTGACATATTTATTATATATGTCTCATATAAAAAGAAAACAGAATACACAGGTTATCGGTCAAAACAAATTATATCTTCAGTTCTGATCATTTAACTACTGGACTATGGTTTTATGCACAAACGACGTTTTTTCAGCACATAATGAAAATATTGAGAGCAGTTAAAAAAAAGCAAAAAAAAAAAAAAAAAAAAAAAAAAAACAGCAAACACACACTTTGAATTCATGCATATAAGATAAAAGTTACCATTTTTCGATAATTTTCTGTCATATCTAAAACTCAGAAATGCTATAAAAAAAATGCAATTATTCAAAACACGGTTGAGTACCATCTTAAAAAATGGCCCATTTAAAAATCATTGTATGTACTATTTATCACTAACATTAAAACATTAACATCCAATTAAAAATGACATCTTCAAATATGCGTTATTACGGCACATGGGTATGATCTCTCTTTTCAAACCTCAACCCACTTTTTATTTATTTTCAACTTTCGACATTTTTCTAATGAAAGATTAAAATATTACGACATACTAAGTAAAATTTAAATTAGATAAACATTTCACATGATAATTCTTCAAAGTATCAAGAGGATTTGCTCGTATATTATATGTAAAGCTTGAAATCGGTGTCCGAAGTCTATACTTGTGACGTTCTTTTTAAGAATCGGCGTGAGAAATCGTATTGGTACGGAAAATATAGGTTTTGCCGTATGGCTGTGGCCAGAAATGATAAGTTTTATGAAACTCCTAGTTATAAAGTAACAATTTCTCCATGATTGGTCTTTATTGAACTAATTTATCAATTTTCAGTTCCAAATCGGCGATTTTTCGCGTTTTGCTCGCTCGCAAACGGAAGTTTTAGTGGACAAGGAGTGTCCGCTGTGAAAATGCGTGCAGTTAAAATACACTTTACACAGACACAGATCGTCTGTTAGTCAATTCAAAACTACTTTCGTGTTTTGAGCAGAATATTTCATGAATCAATAGATCAAGGCATTTGTGATTAGTTTCATTTCAATTTCTTATCCTCGAATATTTCTAGACATATTTGACTTTAACTTTATTATTTGTATTCATTTTATTTTTCACGACATGCTATTGTTTGGGTGCAAGTAATGCTAGCTATAGTTGACTGTCTTGTTATATTGTAGTGATAATGAATATTTTTCCTTTTAAATCATTGTTTAAACGGATAAAACAGATTTTAACAATTGGATAACATAAAGAAAAAACTGTGAAACCGGAAATTTTATTAACATCCTACTTGATTAATCATTTAGTTTTATCATAATAAAATACTATATAAAGCGCAGATCATATAGTTACATGTATCAGTTCTCACTTTTCTTTTTCTTTTAGAATCTGTATTTAGTTACTGTTTGCTTACAATGAAAAGCGGTACTTGTTTCCATTTTGGATTTTTTTCAGTCATTTTAGTTACATGTGTTGTCACGGGAACTGGTAGGTAAATTGCATGTTTTTTCATTAATTTCAACTTTTATTACTAATATGATGATCTTTACGGTCTTGATGCTATTGATAATGGTGACGATAATGATGAAGAAAATTTGACAAAGATATTGTCATGTAATGATTTGACAACAGTGTTGATGATGATTATGAAGATGATGATGATGAGCATAAAGAATGATTCTAACAAAGTCCATGTCTATGCAGAAATTTGACGACGGTGTTGAAAACGGTGATTGTGATAATATGATTATGATCTAAAATGGTCATAGTGATTGGAAATATTTTGGCAATGGCATCATTTATGATGATTGAGATGTTGACGGTGGCTATTGTAACGATGGTGATTCTGCTGGTTGTTGTTATTAGACAATGATATCGACGACGATGACAATAGTGGTGATTTTATAAGTTCAGATAATAGTGCTGGTGATGATGATTTATGTTTTTCAATCTTTTAATGATTTTAATTTTTGATTAAATTAAAGCTGTTTCAAACCTGAATTATCTATCAATATCCGTTTAATGTTGAAAAACAACAATCTAAGAAAAAGTAACAGCAACTCATTATCGTTATTAATTGATAGCTACATATAAAAGACAACATCTTTCAGGCGTGGTGATAGACTGCTATAGTACAACGGTAAATAACTACACCGGCCACCAGCAGACGACAAAGAACGGAACACCGTGCATAAGATGGGATTCTTTGGATGATTATGACTTCATAAATAAACAATTCAACGACGTTACAGTATCAGATGCAGCCAATTTTTGTCGTGCTGTAGGAAAGGATTTTCTGTGGTGCTTGACGTCAAACAGCGGCAGTTGGGATAAGTGTGGAATTGAAAAATGTGGTAAATGAATAATCAGTGATGACCAACTTAAAAAAAAAGCATTTCCGATATAGCATTTTCATAACTTTTAATACATTAGTATGTATTATAATTGATAAATCATGATAAACATGTAGCTACCTTGATAAAATATTAGTTTAAGTAATTTAATTTGAAGTAAGTAAAAACAAATATATTCTTAAAATTGTTAATTTAATAATAGCTAAATTATCCATACTTATACTATTATTTAATATCAAGTTATTTGCTTGTACTATACAAATATAAATATATAATGTTCACTAACAGTTAAATATTATCTTTAAAGCCAAATAATTAGTCATGAGTTAGTAACATATCCATATAAGTAAAACCAGCCTTATCCGGATCCTCTTTGATCTGGATCCCTCTTCTGACGATTTTGAAAGTTCCTATCCATGCCTTACGATTCATGCCATACAAAATGCTCTCCCTTTCTCGGATACGCCATACTCCGGATTGCGGAAGTTTTTTTTAAAGTGTACGTATGACACCTCTTTATTGTATAGTCGTGACGATTAAAATATACATGATTTATTTATTTGAAATTATAATGGTTTAGTAAAGACTATGTACTATTTATCATTAAAAATGATTCTGTTTTGTGATCAAGAAAAATTTCAAAGACACCTCAAAATATTATCCTTCAAACATTTTAAATATGTTATGTGTTACTAAAACTTCAAGTTTTAGTTACATAGAATTGTATCTATAGTGTTTATATTTATGTATTTATGGTACTATCCTAGAATTTAAACATTGTTCTACAAATATTTATGCCATTTTATACTTACAGATAACAACGGTATACGCAAATGTGGAAATCTGAAAATTGAGCAACCAGCTTTAGTAGGAAGAAACGTAACGTTTACTTTTACCCCGGACTCACATGATCCAGATGCAATTCTGGAATGGCAACGTGCAACTGAAGCTAAACGATATTCATGGTACACTCGTCCTTTAACACACAAGTTCATACAGTACAATCAAAATGGAATATACTACATGGTCTTAACAAACAGTGTACCTAAAGGTGATGAACTCTATTACCGGATACATTATTACAACGAAAGCATGCATTGTTGGATGGAAGCAGGGAAACTTGAACTTGATGGTATGTCAATTTTACTTCTCAAGAAAAACAATGCCCGCCCCTCTTTCTTAACCAATCATTGACAAAAAGTTAAACTTATTTGTCTGGCATTTTTATCTTAATGGGACATTAACTCTATATAAAACGCCGTCTCTACTTCTTTTAGCTTCTAAGAGCGCAGACACATGCGTAAAACTGCGAATGGTTCACAGACTAAAATATAAGTAAAAGGTGTTAAATATTACGCGTATTATTATTAGACGGTTAGACGTCTTATAGACTTTCGCGCTATTACGGTACATATCATTTTACCGCGACGTGAAGTTGTCGTCACTTTTGTTATGTTTTGTACATTTGAATTTAGAGTTGAAAATACAGTCGTTGAAACCAGACGTTCATATTCAGTTGTTAATGTCATCCCGACATTTTGGTCCCGCGAACCGGATACACATATAGAGCAAACAAGCAAAATACATCAGAGAAAATAGAAATACCGCCAAGATGAATTTGTCAAAATTACGAGCGCTAATAAAGGGAAATAAAGCAGCCGTCACAAAACTTACTTCAAAATTTGCCGAACTCACAGACAACGATGTCGAGGAAACGGAGAATATTTTACATTCTTTGGAAGAAAAGCAGAAGATTATCAACGATCTTCATGACCAAATTTTAGATGTACTTTCGACGGATAATGAAGGCGAGATAGAGGAGGAGGTGATCACACAGCACGATTATAGTTACCTTATACAGTCAACTATTAACAAGATCAAGAAGAATTAAAAGGTGAAAACTTCTAATTTAAATTCAACAGAACATCCTTTCGAACACACAAGTTACGTTTCAGACAATTTTAGTATAAATGCACCCGTATTTGGGATAAATTAAGCACATTCGCACGTCGACAGAGGAAATATTGCTGCTATGTCTTACCAGTCAGGTATGAATTCTGACTCATTCAATTCTGCAAACAGTTAAGTGTTTCACAAATTACCGAAATTAGACCTTCCCGTTTTCTCCGGAAACATTCTTAAATGGCAGGCATTTTGGGACTCATATGACACTTCAATACATATAAATCAGTCATTCACGGATGTACAGAGATTTAATAACTTGAAATCACTACTTAGAGGAGAATCCCTTCAGATAGATACAGGTTTTAGCCTAACTAATGCAAATTACAAGAAAGCAGTCTCACTTTTGCACGAGAGGTTCCGGCAACGTGAAAATATTATCCAAACTTACACGAAAGCCCTACTTGATTTTCCCGCCCCCTTGAAATCATTCCCGTCTTTACGTCAGTTCTATAACGCAACAGAAACTTATATCACAAGTCTTGATTCATCGGGACAAAATGAAGATACTTATGGCTCTTTATTAGTACCTGTAATGCTAAATAAACTTCCCGCCGAAATAAAAAAGAACATGACAAGTGAACATGGCTCGTCCAATTGGTTTTTAAGTAACGTAATAAAGTTTCTATTGAAAGAGTTAACCATCAATGAGGCCGGAAATGAATTGCAATGTCCAACAACTTACCCAATTACAGATGAATTACAAACCCCTATGAATTATACAGCTACTGCGGCATTCGTGACGAACGAATCAACGTGGTATACAGTCACCGAGATATTCTGCAAAAAAGCTCACCACAGTGCAACCTGTGTTACAGTAAAAACGAGTACAGAAAGAACTGACATTGTGAAACGTGATAAATTGTGTTTTAATTGTTTGGGGAAACATAGAATTGACAGACTGAAAATCCAAGATAAGTTGTAAGCATTGTTCACGACTCCATCATACAAATCTGTGTTCGCATAAATCTGTAAGCGGAAATGATTAAGATAAAGAAAAGAAGACAGTAAGCACCAGTGAAAATAAGAAAGCTGTAAAGAATGATGCCTCTATATTACACTCCGCAAACACACATACAGTTGAACCTGTCCTTTTAAAGACAGCTATAGCCAGCATACAGTCAAACACCACAAACTGTGACTCAAATATACTTTTCGACGAAGGAGCTCAGAGGTCATTCATCACAGAAGATTTAGCCCAGAAATTCAACATCGTGCCCACAGGAACAGAGTCGCACTCTTTATCTTGATTTGGAGATAACATGAAAAGGTCCATCATATACAAACAGCTACCATATCTTTACAAACAGACTCAGACAAAATATCTATCAAAGTACTGATTGTTTCAGAAATCACCGTCCCATTGAAATCATACCATAGAAAAATCCCCGACATCCCGAACTTAAAAGGACTGAAATTAGCTCATCCGTTGTATAAAGACAAATCATTTGACATCACTCTTCTCAAAGGATCTGATTGTTACTGGCAGATCGTGTAGGATAAAGTGATCAGAGGAAATGGACCTACGATATTACAGTCAAAAAAGATTATTTACTATCAGGTCCCCTCCTCGAACAGATAGAAAATAGTTCCTCCCATACATCCATTATGAATCTTATGACAACTCATAATAAGGAAGAGGTAGATCTGGAAAGGTTCTGGAAATTGGAAAGCTTAGGTATAGATACAACAGAACAGAACAAATGTTATGGAGAATATTAAAGTATTTACCAGAATTGAATTCGTGTATCGCCTATAAAAATGACGAGAACAAATACATCGCTTAGTTGTCAAGGAAACAAAATCACCCCCCTCTCCCGACAAATGAATACATCGCCCACAGAAGAACACATCATGTAATATATAGACTCCAGAAGGAACCAATATTGCTGCAAGCTTACGGAAAAAATTATAGATGACCAGGAACTTTATAGAAAAGGTACCATATGACGTCACCCCTCCCAATAAGCTACACTATTTATGCCACCATCACGTAAAGAAAGATACATAAAAAACGCCCATTAGAATTGTATTTGACTGCATTTGCAAAAACACAAATAATTTTGCAAGTTTAAATTGCTTGTTTAGAGAGTACACCTCCAGTATTGACTGATCTGACGTCAATTCTTATTCGCTTTAGAGCAAATTGTTATGCTGTTACTTCGGACATTGAGAAAGCCTTCTTGAATATTGGACTTGATGCAGACGACCGTGACGTCACAAGATTCTTTTTGTTGTCAGATCCAGACGATTCTAGCAGTACCTTGCAGACCTATTGGTTCAATTCAGTGTTATTTTGGGCCACTTGTTCGCCATTCATACTGAATCATTCTCAAGCATCTATCTACAGTAAAGTGTGAAGGATTTATACGTTAGTAACATAATATCAAGTGTACCTGATAAAGAAACATTGACGAACTTTTACAAATTTAGTAGGGAGCTGATCCAGAAAGTAGGACTTAATCCAAGGTCTTTGGCATCAAATTACGAGAATTTACGAGATATTGCGAGAACAGACGATGTTATTGATAAAGACACAACGACAAAGGTACTTGGAATGCGATGGGATTCGGAGAATGATGTACTTACCTTTCCAAACAGAAGAAATAAGACAAGTACTTCAAATCCCTTGGCTAAAAAGAGTTACTGAAACCGCTTGCTTCCATATACGGCCCTCTAGGAATATTGAACCCACTCACCGTTAGGATTAAACTAATTTTACAGTCGCTATAGCAACGTAAGTTAGAGTGGGACGGGATCTGAAGATGTTATTGCAGTATGGACTCGCATAAAATCGGATATTGACCAAGGAATACTAACTTCGGAAACACCTAGATACTACTTCTCGGACAACAACAACACTCATGCACGTGCCATTCACATATTCACAGACTCAAGTATGAAGGCCAACGGGGCATGTAGAGAGAAACGATGAGGTCTACCAATACTAGAAGGAATTGAGAATGCCTTATGTATATGGTTAAACGATGTACATGCCTTCCAAATATCTACCTAAATGACACATTGAACAAAAAATCCAACATCGTTTAACAACAAGACCTATGCATTGATGAAAAAGAATGTTATACGCTGTTTGGCGGTCGTACCTCAAATGCACCAATAGACAGTATACAGTTAGGTTTCCTTTTCTGTTACCAGAAGATCAAGATTGACAGATTTGATTTCGTTTCAATTACCGCTCAATAGAAGCCAGTTACATTCCGGAACCTGAGAGTACAGTAACCATTCTACGACAAAATTTTTTGATTCCTAGTAGACGCAAAAAGTGAAGTCAATAATACCCAAGTGTATTATCTGCAGAAAAAATTACTGGCAAACCTTATCAGTCCCCCAAAGCCCCCCATTTCCGAAAGAAGAGACAGGGAGACCTCCCCTTTTCAGTGACGGTGTTAAAATTTTTGGGGCTTTTAATATAAAAGTAAAAAAACGGAAAAAGGGATTTTTTATGCGCAAACAGAAGCAGTTTACCTCTGAAAATTTACAAGATAAAGAGATTTTTTCAAATTAGCCTTTTTGTCGATTTATCAGTAGAAAAAAACAACACCAAAAAAGTGTCAGATAAGCAATAATTACATCGCAGCCGTTTAATTTGAAGACCAAATAAAAAGACTATGGCATTTCTTGGAGTTCAATACCGCCAATACACCTTTGGGGACGGAGGGCTGGTAGGAAAAATTAATTGGTTTACTAAGAATTTTTAAAAAAGTACTAGGAAAATCACGTAAGCCTCGAAAGGGTACAGACCTTTTACAGAATAGAAGATTAAAACACCCCTTACAAAGAAACGGGCCCTTAATGAAGACCCCCTAACACCATCCCCCTTTTTTCGGGCGAATATTCTTTTCCCTACAATTTCCCGACAACATGCCTACTTTTTTCAAAAGATCCTACTCTAATCAGTCAAAAGGGTTGGGAACTTTTAATTAATAACATTAAAACATTCTGGACCCGAGGAAAAAGGGAAATCTTTCATCCTTTTAAAAAAACCAAAAACTCACAAATTTAAACAAGACACACCAATAATTGGAGATGTTTCTGCTTACCCGGGCGATAGTATAAACAAAAAAATGGGCCCCACCAGAATAAAGACCTTTTTTCTAGCGGGGATGGCGGGAGATGTTAAGTAAGGGGACTATCCGACTCATTTTTAAACCCGTACCAATGGGGACGTTAATGCATTTAATGTTATGAAACGGTGCTCGCTATTGCAAATTCATACATAAAGTGACATTAAAGTGAAGTTTCAAGAACCAGTGATTTGATACATTGGCGCTATTACGGTATATAGCATTTTACCGATATTTCACGGAAAACGAAAAACGAAAAATAACCTTTTGATTTAATTTCAATATCAAAGAAAGATAGTGACGAATCCCCTTGCTTGCTACGCAACTGCAATTGTACAGCGCGCAGTAATATATTGTTTTGACTGTTTTTGCACGCGCTGATTCGCGCTACTTTGTGACGTTATGCAAACAACTCTTTAAACGTCTTTACAGCGGTAATGACTGAATTAAAGATATTGGTGATTGGATTTATTTTCTTAGTTAGACCATTTTCTATCATTCAAGACAGTTTTCAAAACGAAAAGTTGTTTTTTATTTATCTTTTTTTCCAAGCAAAATGGCGTAAGAAGTCCCTTGAAATAAATATTTTTAACATAGTTTTGACTCCGCCCATTTTCATATTTATATTTCATATTTATTTTTTTATAAAAATGAAATATATTTGAATAATATAGCACCATATGTCATGGGTAAAATTAAATAAAGCCTGATAATCAGACATAGACATTTTTGATTCTGTTTCTTAATATTTAGACATATCAAAATTTTAAAAATTTATTAATATGAAAAAACAATTCATTTGAATGGGACCCCAAAAAAGGATTGATGCGATTTCCAAAAT